AATCCACATTATTTACAATAATGAATTGAATGAAAATTATGGCCATCATGTGATTTGTGATCTTAATTTATGGCCGTGTGATTTGTGGGCTTTTGTGTGTGTGTGGGTGTATGTGTATGATATGAGAAAAATGTTTGGATAAATGAATGAGATGGCCTCATGCAGATCATGCTTTATGATGCTTTTAACTACAGCATTGACCTCCCCTCCACGCATAATTCATACCCCATCGACACGTTCGGCTATTGCTGAGCTATTTTCATTAGCCATTGGAAAAATGCTTCCGTTCAACGCCGTCGATTTGATCGAGTTAATTAAACGATAATTATCGTCATGCGATTAACTCACCGAAATGATGAGTTTTTCGGTAATCAAAACGGCAGAGTGTAGCGGCTACACGCCGTAGCCAATGAATGTATTATTTGGAATGCGACACACGAACCTCAAAATGTTCTATCAATGTTTGTGTAGCCAAACGATTCAATGTTTTTTTGTTGTGAAACGGTGGTCAAAAGCCGAATATGATGCTGCATTTTATGCGAGAGCTGAGATGGGGATGATGGACCATCATTGATGGTTATTCGTAACGTGATAGTGTTGCAAATTGACACATAAGTGTGGAATGAGTCTCAAGCAAGACTTACTTGTTAACAATACCATCGTTAATATGAGCATTTATCATAAATGATCCGGTCACGCATTAAATGCTCTACTTACGCGTAATAATGTGTGCTTAGAGACGTGTTCATGTCCCGGCCACTTGTTCAATGAGATTTTTTTTTCTCTTCCCGTTAGCCGGTTCATTGTATGCTGAATTGCCACCGATGGGGATGAGAGAAGTCTTCTGCTTAACCACAACCGATTACAAAACTTGTGAACATCCAACCAAAACAAGCAATTGATTTGACTAATTGATATAAATACGGTCATCAACGTGAAATCACATCCGATTTGCTACGCACCACCACAACCGGATTGGCCGATATATGAAGATACGCCGCGCACAGCGCACAAATGTCATCTGACAGCTATTATTAAATTATTGACCACTAAATACAACACGGTACCTAGACGTTTGGTAGTTAATATTTTGACGGTTTGTCAATCGACACAAACCAACTGGAGCAACCAAAGTCATTTATTCAAGCGGGTTTTAGCAAAGTATTTTCCATTTCAAAGATATTCAGAGAATTAATGAAAATGAAAGTGCTAGAGCTCAGGAGACAATCAATGTCTTGATCTATTAGAAAAATCATCAGCTTTTGTTGATTCAAAGCCTCAAATTAGTTTCATTTTGTCGGAAAATCGAAAAAAATCATGTGTTTTAAGGAAAATCACCCCATATAGCAATCAAATGTAGGGTGTTTTTCCTTAAAAAAAAAGAACATTTAAACCGACATAACCAATTTGTTTGCTGTCAAACTTTGTCTCGCTCACGCCAACTGTCACACTGACTCGTTCGTGTACGAATTGCTGTTAGCGTAAAAGAGAAGTTGTTCGCAGTGGACTCAGTTTAGATGTTCTTTCGAACAAATGAACGAATTGAAAGGTACGGCGTCTTTTCTGGCACTTTATTTCCATTATTAGGCATGGGATAAATACACTGTAAAATGTCAAATCGTTCATGTTGAGGTGAAAGCGGATTTGAACCGCATTAAAATCATTTAACCCGGAAAATGTGCTGCCAATTTTTTTACGGATGATGATTATGTGTGCTTGTGTCAAATGGGAAATAATTGTGAATCGATTTTTTTTTCTCGATCGAGACTGCGAGTATTTTCTCCTCTTCCTCCTCCGCCATCACGTACCATCGATTAAAATCCATTAGAACAGTCGGTGTGGTGCGAGAGCAAATATGAGTGTAATGTACCAACAAGCGGTAGTGCCAAATGTCTAATCATACTTCTCGTCATCTTATCGTCAAAATCGATAGCGGAAATGATTGCAAGCAGCAGCTACGACGACAACGATGTGTTAAATAAGCCGAAGTGAGAACTAAGCCGTTTTAGATCACCGGGTGTCAAACGCATCGAACGAAGAAAAAAAAACAATAACCAACATTGTCTCTCACTTAACAAGTCAAAAATAACAAAATTAACCAGTGAAAGAGCTTGTGTTAACACTTATTTCGATTTCGAGAGTAGCAAATGCACCATCCCATGCGAACGTACAGTTCATTGTATTGTCGCATTTGGCTCTCGCTTTTTCTTCATGATTGAATGTTTTCACAATACAGTTTGTAGACTTGATTTAATTCCCACGCTCTTTTCTGTGTATCTCTCTCTCTCTCTCTCTGTATGGGGATAAACCAAAGCATCTTGTTCATTGCCACCCAGAGAACAAACCGCAACAATGCGAGTCGAGTTGACAAAATTCGGTTTTCCTCTCGCGAAAAATCATCCAATTTCCGAAAGTTTTGAATTTAAAGAACAAAATATATTTTTTTTGGAGAATTTTTTTAATAAATTTTGAATTTTTCTTCTGTTCTGTTCAAATATTTTCGGCATTTTGGTTCGGTTCATTCCAAACTTTCCACATTTTTCTGTCATACATCTTTGATTGTACCGGAGGCAAAACAACATTGACACGCACATACATCTTTGGTTCAATTTCTTGAAAATGCCCAATTTTTTTTCGCATTTTCCGTGCATTTCATCTAACGTTTCACTTCTTTTCGTTGAGTTATCTCATGATTTCACTGTGTAATCTACCAATTTCCTTCTATTATCAGCTTCTATAGCATTTTCATTTAATTTTATGAATCAATCACCACTGTCACGCTTTCTAATGATTTCCAAATGGGTCAATGTTGCTGGTTGAATGGTAATTGAATCTAATTTTTGGCTGAAGAAATCCGAAAATTCGTCGTCGTCGTTCTTCTCCTTCACATTCTTCTCTATTTAACATCAACTTACCCTCATGCATTTGATTGGTTCTATTCGCGAGTCGCATGTTCGTCGCGGCTTTAAGTATATAGTGAATGCATTTTAATAATGCTTTTGGATCATGGATTTCCGCATTAACATTCACTCTGCCTCTCTCTCTCTCTCTCTCTTTCTCATCCCCCTGCACCTTCTCTTCCTCCCATCATCTATCTCTCCGTCACAAGTAAAATGGTAATGCCTTCTTATAAAACTGAAAACGTTTCGATTGTTGGCGCTTTTTCTATCTTGTTCATTGCAACGCAGTAGCAGCAACAGCAACAGAAGAAGTAAGGAAAAACGGTTGTGCACTTCAACTCTTTGTTTGGTTGAAGTTTTTGATGGGAAAGTGCAAGGCTAAAACGACAGTGATTTTTCCAATGTTTTCTTCGTTCTTGTCGTTTTAGTTTTTAGCTTGAATGGGTGCATCTTAAGCGCGTTTGTCGTTAGATATATTGACAATGACGACAAAACCGAATCGAAAAGACAAGATAAAAAAAAAGCAGTGGAAAGAAAGCGGCATAATCGTTTCCGAGCGGAGCGAAATAAAATGTGACAAAAGTTAGAATAAACGGGAATTGATAAAAAGGAAAGAGCTGAGAGAGAGTAAGGGATAGAGAATGAGAGAGAAAGAGCTGTATTCGATGGAATCATCAGAAGAATTGGCGCGATGCGGTAAGCGTAAATGCTTAAAGATAAAGACCAAACCGAAAGGAAAAGAGGATCGAATGTGCGAATGACAGAGTGAGCGAGAGAGAGGAGAGAGAGAGAGAGAGAGAGAGAGAGAGAGCGAGAGAAGCACATCCATAATAGAGAGACAAAATCGCATCCACACAGAGGATTAAATAAATGAAACGAAATGGATTCCATCAAGAAATAATTCGTGCAGAAAAGCTCTTACTATAAAATGGAAATAAAGACATGAATAATATTTTTGAAGCGCAATGTCGAGAGCGAGTGCGGCGCAATAGAGAGAACCGACGTGGAAAGAGATGATGACGTGAAATAAGATGAAAAAGAAGAAGAAGACGACGATGAAGACGTAAAAAAATGTGAACCTAATAATAATAATGATGATGATGATGAGAGTGGGAAAAAAAGTTCCAAAATGTTGACACGACCACGATGACGACGACGGTGGTGGTGGTGGCGGCGATGTTGGTGGTGGCAAATGCAAAAGTGAAAAATGTGTGTCGCATTGATTTTCGAGTGTCATCGGATCGACAGTGCAGAGAAACAGATCGTTGTTCTTGCTTCATTTTTCCCCATTCTCTCTCTCTCTCTCTCTCTCTCTCTCTCCACTTTCTTAAGTTGCAAGGAAAGTGGCTGCTACTACTTAAGACGTCAACAGATATCGATCTCAATTGCAAGGATATTCTCTTTCTCTCTGTGTGTATTTACAGGAAAACCACGATGACAGCACATTTTTTTTCCCGTTTCTCCATTTCAGTTTTTACCATTGCTTTCCGTTTCACACTTTATTTCACTGATCCCAAACACACCAATAAACGATAAATGCAGAGCTTCCCTCTCTCTCTCTCTCTCTCTCTCTCTCGATGCTGTGGAGTTGGGAAAGTTTAAATACCGGATTTAACTCTGTCGAATGCTTTTGCCACGTAATTTCATTTTAAGACGCTTCGGTTGCCATGATTTAGGTGCAAAACATTTACCGATTTATGTGTGTGTGTGTTGCTGCAAAAAAAAAGAAATCTTTCTGAAAGATGCGGGAAGAGAAAAAAGTCGGAATCGAGTAAACAACAACCCGTTATTGGCTAATTAAGTAATAAATGCATACTTTATTCGGTGTATATTCTTGAAATCATTACAATTTGTTGTTGTGTGTTGATGTTTCTTTGTTTGAGTATGTGGTATGTGTTACAATCCAATTCGGTCTACATTTAAGTATGTGTCTATAAATACGCGCGTGTTTGATTGTGTCTTTGTGCCGAGGCAATTACTCAATTACATTTATTTTTCTCTCTTCTAGCTGTGTGTATTTTCTGCGTGTGATTGTGTGATTTTACTCATTCTCTAATTAAGAAGTAATATTTTGTTATGTAATATAGCTAAAGACAATTGTTTTGTTGTGTGTTGTTGTTATTTTTTAATGCAAATACTTAAAATTTGTGTTTGTGTCCTATTTTCAATGAACTTTTACAATTGCATTTAAATCTATCGATAATTTCCATTAAAATATCGTTTGGCTTCATAGTTATTTTTTTCGTCTTTTTTTAAAACTCCTTTACATGCAATATGTAGAGCCGATTGTTTTATCTTTTCATTGAAATCGATGCTATCCATTGTTTTTTTTTATATCTAATACATTCCTAAAAAAAAATCGCCTGTGGCCAATCTTTTGCATCCGAATGGATATCTCCCGGTCAGACATTTATAAATATCTTGTTTTTTTTTTGTTTTTTTTTATCTGATCTTAGGTGCATGATCACTATTCGAATTATCAAATTACATTTAAGTGTTATTTAGTTTACTCATTTTGATATGGATAAGTATGCATTGCATTTTCTAGATTCATATTTTTAGATAAGGTTTTTTTGCTTCTGTTTTTGTTTTTGTCGCGACTCTCGTGTTGCATAGAACAGAACGAAAATGTTTGAAACACAAAACGTTCGTTTTGAAGGAATCTTTCACATTAATTCCGACGAATTTGGGGCTACTGAAACAATTGCATTGTTTTTTCGTTTGCAGTTGATGAAAAGTAGTTAGTGCATTGATGAAAACTCTTTTCTTATCTCTTCTCTAGTAAAGAAGTTTTCTTATCTCTTCTCATTTGCGAATTGTTTCTCCCCAACCAGGTCTTTCCTCAATATTCTGATTTTTCCCGTTTGAAATGGCGCTTTTTCATAATCTGAAAAGATGACATAGGTGTTGACTCAGCACTGCTGAGTTTGTGATCTTAAAATTGCTGCATTTTTCATCAGGCGACTCGATTCTCTTCAGAAGAGACAAGTGCTTTTGCCCTAACCGAAAAGCATTTCGCTTTGAAGTTTGAAACTTTTTTTCGAAGAAAAGCGAAAAAACTTTTTTTCAAAGAATTCCGAATTAAATGAAAATGACAGAAATCAAATCGAGAATGATAAAATTAACGACTTTTTGTCCTATTCAAATATTTAAAGTTTTGCTTCGAAATTCAAATATCTGACGGTTTTTGAGCAATGGTTTTGCCTGCTTTACTCGATTTGAAAGTGTCAGTCAAAAATGTGTTCCACTGCATGCCGTATCAAATCAAAACCGTGTACGTTCCACGTGTAAAAAGATAATCATAAGTGGTTGTTTCAGCTGGTTGAAGGAAGATATCGGATTAGAAAGTCATTGGCTTTCATCGTCGCGAGTATCAAAGTCTATGTTAATTAGAATGCATGTGCACCGTGCAATACACAGGCAACTTAACAGATTTGCACAGTGTACCTGTGCATCCATAAATTTGCGAAGCCGAAACAACAACAGAATACGAGATGATGCATCTCTGTTGCATTTTAACGCTGAAAACCCTTCATGTCGCTTTTTTTTCTCGATCAGAACAATAATCGGAGTGCGTTAAATGTATCGAAAAAATGCATCGGGAATCTAATTCTAATAAAATACGTTGAATATATTGTACTCGAATCCAATACAGCGAAAGAGAGACAGAGATTATAATTATGATTATGTTTATAGTGAAAATTACGAATGAAAATGGATGGTGGTTGTGTCATTTAAGTTTCTCTTTGGCTAATTGATATTTTCGTCATTATCGTCATTATCGTCATCGTCATTATCATTATCATTCAAGTGAAATGGGTTTAAAATCTATGATTTTCCTCAATCGATTTATTCATATTTATAACATTAGCGAATATTTACTAAAAGCTATTCAAATATCCGATTCAATAGAATTGTTACGATATTTGTATGGGCCACACGAAATGGAACGTCATTTCATCATCACGCATGTGTCCTTGTCCATTTGCATGGTGAATTCAGAAGCACATCAAGTCCATCATCCATTTTTTTTTCTTGCTTTAAATGTTTGTTTTGTTTTAATTGAAATGTTATTCTATTTTTCTAACGAGAGACACTTTCCACGGGCAATGGAGATTATTGTTGCTGCTACTCTCTCTCTCTCTCTTTAAAATGTTTTGGACAAGCTTTTCATTTCTCCCTTTCCCTCTTTGAGATTTGGGAAAATCAACCACGACTAATCATTCGAAACGACAGAGCAGAATTTTTCCTAATTATTTTGCTTGTTACGTCTAAATCTCTAAATCTATTTCAAATTGATGTATATTTTAATTATTATTCTCTAGATATGAATAAGAGTAATACTAATAGAAAAAAAAAACTGGAGGAATATTTATTACTTTCTTTTCAAGATAAAAACTTGCATTAACATTCACGCTGGAGCTATCTCTAGACGCCAATTGCAACTAATACAAATGTGCAATTATGTGCACGATTCAATTTCGATTTAACTTTTTCTAAAAAAAAAACAATGCTCCTCATCATTTTTTGCTTACATATGCTGTCATTTATCGTTTTGCAGCATCCGGTTTTGCATTGCGGTTTGTCATCAGCATCATTAGCGGCAACCGATGCCCTTAATCACGTTTCAATGAATGTGAAAATGGACCCAGATCCGGTATATGCGTTGAATCATACAAGGACATCTTCAAGCGTTTACACTTTGCACGACGATTCTTAAACCAAAATTGCACATTCTTACTCTCGAGCCGAGGGAATTTTTGCCTATTTATTGCGGATGAAATAAACAAATAAAGTTCAAGTATTAGATTCATTGAATTTTCAAAATATTTCTTGAAATTATATGGAAAAACACGTTTTTTTATGTGCATAATGATAAAGAAAGAAAAAAAAAGGTCCAAAACCTTACCTGTATGGCATGCGATTCAAGTCTTCGGTGTATTTGAGAATGAGATTATGCGATGGATGTGTGTTCATGGCGAACCATTGTTCCAATTTGGGTACTTCGGTGACTGGATCGATGAATGTTCGATTGCGTTTACGTCGTTCGTCATTGCTAAGATTGAGTCCGCAAACGCCGCTCTGGCCAAGTGCATTTGGGCTGGTGTTGGGCAAAAGTGTGCCCGGCACAGCGCCCTGTCCAATTTGCGGTATATAATGGCTCATGTACATGATTGAGTGTGAAAACATTGAATTGGGCAGAATTGGAAATGATGGTGATGATGGGCGATACTCATCCATTGGATTAACATCGGACTCTTCCATGTCTAAATCCTCTTCGGATTGTGGTGAATCTTTGATTGAATTGTGTCGTTGTGATTTATCCGATACATTATCCGCATTGTTTGAGTCGTCCAAACGATTTTGTGCCATTGCCCCGTCCGATGACCGTGGATCACTGTACCGATCACCGCGTATCAATTCATTGTGCCCGTTGTTATTGTTGTTAATCGCATTTCGAATGTTATTGTTATTCTGCAGCGGTGATCGAATCGGGAAATCCGGTTCGGATTTTATTTGATTCTCTTCAGCCGATGATGTCGATCGACGACGTTCGTGCGTTGTCAACGACAATGGCAATTGTGGCGATGCAGCACGATCAAGATCTTCGTCCATATCATCGGAATGCTGTGACATATTATCCATATCGTCCGATTTTATACTCTGCGGACTCTTCATGTATTCACTGTTATGAGCGTGCAATGTGTCTGCGTTGAGAGCGGAAGAGAAAATTATTTGTGATTTTTTGACTACGAATTCAGGTTTTTTTGCAATGAAAATTATATTTTGAATTTTCATATGCATTGAACTCTCCGAAAGGTAACTTTCATCACCCTCCCTCATCGGGGACTCCCAATCAATTATTACAATCACCAATGTCTTTTGAATCTTCAAAGAAAAGAAAAAAAAACTATCGAAAAACTCACCAGTCTGATTGGTGCCCGTAAATCCATTACCGATACCTTGCCCCCGTAGTTCGGCTCGTTTTTGTGCGGCGCGTGCATTTTTAAACCAATACACCACATTATTCACATCCAATGGCTTACGACCGCGTCGCGAATCCAACGAATTCAATTGCAATACGTACGATTGAATTTGTTGGCGCGATGGATGTGGATTCTCTTGGAACCATCGTTGTAATTTTGGTAATTCCATTTCCGGATCGAAGCTGGTCCGCATGCGAGTCTTTTGATTGGAATACTGTGAATGAACGGTTTGCAGTGCTGGATGAACAATAAAATTGTTATGATGATGCGGTGGCTGGTGTAAATTTGTTTTATGATTATCCAGCAACGATTCACGGCTCGTGTGCATATTACGATTGCTAAGCATTTGAAAATCGGCCGCTGTTTGCAAGTCAACATTGGCCTTTTGTGCGTTTATAAATGGAAGCAATTTTTGTGTGGCCGCACTGGTTTGCGGTGCCAATTGATTATTCCACCATTGATCGAATGCACGGCACGTCTCCTCCGATATTTCATTTGCATATGGAAACGGTCCTTGGTAATTCGTTCGACAGATTTGCGATAGGGTTATCTGTGGATGAATTCGAAAGGGGATAGAAAACGATAAATTAGATAAATGAAAACGACTCGTTCGTTTGTCCAGAGAGGAAACAGTGACGAACTTTGTTTGTAGAATGGAAATTTCATTTCAAACGAGTAACAAACATAAAGCTCAAAAGAAGAAAAGACCGTCACTCACCTCATCTAGCGGGCATCCGGCCGACCGTAGAACGGCATGCGATTGTAGGATTAGTAATTTGAGGAGTTTGTCTTTGATTTCGGTGAATGAGGATGGTTTGGTGCGCAATATCACGATGCGCAACGTAACAACGGATGTTAATTCACCAAGAATATCGCCGACCGACACCAATGGATTATCGGAAATCTTTTCCATTGGCAATGGTTTCCAGTTTTTAATGATGATGGATCCACGTGCCGTTGCCGCTATATCCGATGAATAGCCCAATCGTTGTAATGCCGTGCCGAGGATATCGGCAAATGGTGTTACCGCTGGTACAATAACATAGCTATCGGTTTCGATGTTTGGTCTACGCTTCCATGGATTGCGATTTTCCATGCACAACGATGCTTGCATTGAACTTATCGATTCAACTATACAATGTAACGGCAACGATTTCACTGTGAAGCGAAGAGAAGAGAAAAGAGGCGATGGCAAAAAATTACAAAAGAGAATTTATATATATATATGTGGAATGGACATTTTTCATTATATTATTACCGCTCTGATAATTTTAATCCTACAACTGATTATTATTTGTTTGTTTTAAAATTAGATGGCATTTGTGGACCAAACAATAATGTGGAAATAAAAAAAAAAAAAACAAAATAATTTCGAGTGCAACTGGGAAACATTCACATACACACACGCTTGATCACTCGCTCGCACACCGATTTAAATTTGTATTAACGCAAATAATATTTATTAACAGAATATTCAATTATTAGAATTAAATATGAACATTGAGGCAGCTTATTAAATAATTCAATTTTGGTAATGAACGATGAGTTTTTTTTTTCATTCTCGAAGAATTTAACAACTCATCGAGTTTTGTGCATTTGGGTTGGAGAGGTCGGTATGGTTGAATGGATGCCGAGGTGCCAGAGTGTCGGGATGCACGGATGCAGGGAGGTAGTGAAAGAATCAGAACCATCGAAAAATGTGAATATTCGTCAACAGATTTTAAAACCGCAACAACATAAAGTGATTCAATCAATGAGCCGCCATGAATTATAAACCAATCATCAGCTAACAGCAAAAGCGCTTTTAACATCAATTATTTTTGTGGCTGGATTTGGCCCATTTAATGACCAAAATGCAAAGCGTTCATCCAACCCGATGCTCTATCTCTCTTTAGCTGCAATACTTTTTATCTCTCTCTCACTCAAGCTGGTGCTGTCACACTCTCTTTTCAATTTTAGCTTTCTCATCTTGTCTCTCACATTCTCTTTGCCAATGTTAGTTTTCTATCTCTCTCTTACACCCTAACACCCTCTCCCCCTTTTCTTCCGTTATCTCTGTCCATTCAATGAAATATGAACATCAAAGAGCGCGATAGCCAAATGGGCTTAGTTTCGATTACCTTCTCAAATCATATTGAATATATATAATGAAGACGAATCCATACGAAAAAAAAATATATCCCTGAATAGTTTTCAACTGTGAAGCACCCAACACGATCCAAAAAAAATATGAAGAGAAAAAAAAACACGCATTCATTTTTGCCACACGAATATGGGAATTTAAAGTGATCATTTTAATTAAATAACATAATTATATTATATTGATAATAGATTTAATAATCGGCCGAGTGGTTGGTGGTTGATGTACAGTGTACACACACACACGCGCACGCTGCAGCCACTGTGGTGTTGATAAATATTTCACACAATGGAAAATATTAGAGTTGGCTATTGTTACGTCACTTGTAAGCGACTAATGCACTAGTTGCAAATTACGTTTCAATTTTCCCATTACGTGGCCAGGGTGTAAGAGCGCGAAAAAAGCGAACACAGAGAAGTAAAAAATGAGTGAATATGAGCAGTTGAAATCAAAGGAATGTGTTGAAGTACTGTGTGGCTTTGAGCTGGTGGATGTCATTAGCCGTTTTATGCGTTGGTTGGAGAGTTGATGGTATGTGTTATGGGGTGGGCGCAACAACAGCAATGCCATAAACCAATAAAATATTATACTAATCGAAATGAGGTAAAGTAGATAAGTATGGAATTTCATATTTTAATTGGTATTGCTGGGAATTTATGTCTTCCGCGCAGCGGAATTCTCCACCATCGCAACCGTTTTTTTTTTTTGGACGTGCGAGTGTTATGCGATCCAACTTTACCATATATCTTTTAAAGCATATATATCATATTAGCCCAAACGTAGGTAAGTCGAGGATTATCATAATTCTGTTATGACTTTCTGCACTGATGATTCCTTCGGCACAATTTCCTCAAGTTTGTAGGTTTTCAGTTTAGACAAACACAATCATAACAAACAGCGTGGCAAATCGAAAATCAAGTGAAGAGAGAAAAAAAAAAACAACAAAAACAATGTGCTTCATGCAATGAATAACGTTCATTTACTCTGACTGACTGACTTTTTATTTTTCAAAAACACATTTTGTTTGCTTTATTTTTCTTCACATGTCGCACACAATTTCCACGTAACATTCATTCGATTCAAACACACATTTTGTTTTGCTATTTATTTAATCATATTAAAATTCAAGCCGACACATTGTCTCATTAAAATTCCATTTCCTTCAGCAGCAACACCAACAAGTCGCTACTGGTTTTTGCCAACTGAAATTCCACTGTCACACTTCATTTTTGTTTTGTTGTTGTCAGTTTTTCGACACTATCTTTGACCGTTTTGCATAATTAATAAAAAAAATTCGAATTCATTTCGATTGGGTACTGATCGAGGAAATGATTTTCAATGAAGTACACCCAAATAAAACTGTTTTTTGGTTATTTTACGTTGGATGTATCAATATTTTATTTTTATTTTTTCAATATTCTTGTTGAAAACAAGCATCGGTTCGGATATAGAAATATGCAAGATAAATATGCAAAGCATAGACGCGTACGGACGACCGTGCGACAAACGTATCAACGGGCGTTCGTGCATTGCGAGACGCGCGCGTACGTGTATGAATACAGTGTACAGCAAACAACGATGGCTCTGGTGATACGTTCGTCGCACGGTCGTCCGTATGCGTCTATGCTTTGCATATTTATACAGTATAGAACATCTAGGTAAACATATTTCTATGTCCGAACCGATGCATGGTTGAAAAAAGGAATAACTCGAAATTTCGATCGAATTTTGGGCCGAAAATCACCGTTGACTTCCATTTTCTATTCAAAATCCAAAGAAAAGGACAAGAAAAAGAGATAGAACATGAAGTGCCTTTTAAATGTGCAATATTTACGAAGTTATCGTTTTGCTCAATGAAATTGTAATTTTCATTTCGCATAGTTTCCGTTTTGCCTGAACTTCTAAATTATGAACCTCGGACTTGAATCAATATCAGTGTATCATTTATTCGCTCATTTCGGCACGTGATTTAATCCATCGGACATGAACATTCTGATTAATTGCCATTGGAGTGAGTTTTGACCGGTGGAGAAATGCTAATGTGATTCGTTTTCTGAAAGATTTTGTCTAGGATTTTGTTGCCAAAACTTAATGTTTTACCCTAATCTTCAATGCTTGTTGGCATTCTTGGAATGGACCGAATGCGACCACTTTCGGTTTCGGATCAATCGTAATACCCCTGAAGTTATGCAAATAGACGGAACCGGTCGTAACATTGGAGTTAACAATAATTACAATTGTAAATTGATTGATACTGCTTTGGTGGAAATTTGGTTTTTTCGTTTGTGCTCCTTTGGTGGCACCTTTCTTAATGGTACTTCAGTGGTGCACTTTCGATGTAATGTCAAATTAATGGTCAAACTGATTTCTTCGAATCGAATGTTGGAGCAAAAAGGGAATGTGATCGGTTATTCCAAGTGTTATGTTGATGCGATTTTGTTGTTTATTAAAAATAAGAATCTTGTAACCAAACAACAGCAAGGTGGTTGGAGGAAAGAAGGTGGTTGGAGGAGAAAAAAAGCGAAACTGAATTGAAAGATGAGATAAATCGAATTATAGGGACTGTGTGCAATGCTGTGGCTGTTCGCCACACATTTTCTAAGTTTTCTTTTTGTGGCCGATGCTGTGTTGCTTGTCCTGTCTCTGGTAAGAACATCTATATATCGAAATAAACCTAAATCCCAAGAATTAAGTATAAATACAAAATCGGTTTTACATAGATACTGAATGTGTGTGTGTGTGTGTGCTTGTGTCGCGCTGACAAATAGATACGGATACACCGAATCGCATATCTTCGTACTAATGGCTAACACATAAACTATTCATAATAAATCCTTTATCAAGCGTGCATTTCATTTGTTCGCACATGTTGCCATCATCGTCATCGTATCGAATTGGAAAAATATTGGGAAATCTTCACTTTCTCTCTCTCTCTCTCTCTCTCTCTCTCTCTCTCTTGTCTAGCGTCTCTGTAGCTAACGTTCTCTCTCTTGCTCATTCATTCATCCGCTGCTGCCTCTTTCTCTTACAAAGAGTTGAACCGGTGGCAAAAATGTACAAACGGATTTAATATTTCGCCAAGTGAAGGGTATTGAGCTCACACACATACTCCGCACATCGCATATATATCACACTCAACTTCATTTCTGCATTATTTGACGAAATGTATATCTTACACGAATCTAATTCAAAAGGTATATTAAGTTTAAAGGATTTAAACAGATTTCTTTATTTGTGTCGTCATTTCGGTGAAGGAGCGTTCCGGAGAGCGAGAGTTTTTGCTCGGTTTGGTAAATCGGTGTGTGTGTGTGCCTGTGTGGCAAAAACCGAAACTACAGCATTGAGCAACACAGTAAATCCATAGACTAATGGAAGTTTCCTTAATGAAGGTAACAATATTAATTTTTTTTCTTCCATCGTTCATTCTTCGTAGTCGTCGTCGTCGTCATCGTCTTCATCATCTGCTTTAAATAAATCTCAGTGCTTGAAATATGGTGCAAAACTATCGAAACAGAATAAAACCGGTCGCTTGAAGAGTTTTGTCCCCGAAATCTTTCCAATCCATACATAAGAATTTTCGTATCAAAGAATTACGGTTCGGTTCGAGTAGTTGTGTGAGTGTGTGTCAGTTTTTTTTCTTCTAATTTTCCGGACGAAAATAAATCTGCTGTGAATTTGCATGCGACCACATACACACAGAGACTCCGTGGTAATATCCCATTCACATGAAATTTTTTGTTCATCTGGATCAAGCGCAAAATGACTGCGCTATGAAATGTGCACATTCAACTGGTGAACAAATGGATTTTCATGCAACGTGAAACATCGGTCGATGAAGATGAAGATCCACATAACAACAAACATTGATCTAGTTTTAGGCAAAAGGAGGATTGAGATGACTGGAGTGAGAGAAAGAGAGAGAGAGTGAGAGAGCGTGTTAGCTGAGCAAGTGAGCGAAAACCGGAGAAAGAATCACATGAAAACGGAAAATCCGAATGTCCGAGAGTTTGGAATGTCT